TTAAGATGTTCAGATGTGTGCACTTCAGCTCCAGTCTTAAACTTGCTGAGGTTGAGAAATGCTTCTCTCAATCAACAGGACTCTATTATTGTCCTAATTATAGATACCGATACCCTGTGTCATAACAACAGCATATATACTGCCTCCCTTCACACCAAAGAAAAGACAACAGTCTGGTTTCAGTTATCTGCCCCTTTTTCCTCCAAGGTCACCTCACACGGCCAACTTGTTTCTACTCATCCTAATGCCACATACAAAATCACAGTACATGTTATTAAACCTCCACACATCAAAGAAGACTGACATAGCGATGTTTTCTCCTTTTTAAAAGTAGCTGCCTGTTCCGAATGTTGATTATGCAAAAAGATTCCAAAGAGTACCGCACAGAAATATATCAAATAGCCCAATAAAATCTAAACTAAAGTCAAAAATATATTTATTAGTCCTAGAGAATATAAATGAAAAGCAACAGGTAGTCCTTGACTTATTACCACACATGACCAAAATTTGTGTTGAGACAATTGTTAAGTGAATTTTGCCCCATTTTACAACCTTTCTTGCAAGTTGCTAAGCGAATCATTGCAGTTGATAAGTTAGTAACCCAGTTGTTGAGCAAATATGGCTTCCACATTGACTTTGCTTATCAGAAGGTCGCAAAACATGAACTTGAGACCCAGCAATGGTCATAAATATGAACCAGTTGCCAAGCATCTGAATTTTGATCGTATGATCATGGAGATGCTAGAAAGTCATAAGTGTGGAAAATGTTTGTAAGACTTTTTTTTTCAGTGCCATTGTAACTTTGAATGGTCACTAAATGAACTATTGTAAGTCGAGGATTAAGATATATGCTAACAGCAGCACCAATCGGTCTGGCACAATATTGGAAAAGAGAAACCTTGCTGTCAATACCAGATTGGGAGACTAAAATTAGATATTTTGTGGCAGTGGAAAAATTTATTGGTTGAAGATGCTATCTTTCATACCTGGGGCTAGCCCTACCATAAAACACAGTGAAGTAGTTGTTTCAGATGCAAATTCCAGAAGGAAACAGAAATGTGCTGGAGAAGAAAACCTATCTTGTTTGCTTATTTATTTATATCCTGCCCTTATTTTATTTTACAAATAACTCAAGGCAGCAAACATATTCAACACACATTCCTCCTATTTTCTCCACAACAGCCTTGTGAGGTAACTTGCGCTGAGAGACCACTATGGCCCAATGTCACCCTGCTAGTTTTCATGGCTAAAGCAGAACTTGAACTCCCAGTTTCCTACTTTCTAACTACATAGATGAAACTGGATCTCCAAGTCTGCTGCCTCCAGTTGCAGTGGGAAAACTGCAGCAGCACTATTATCCCAAAAATGCTTTTCAAGAGGAAATTGGTCTTTCTTGGGGGGTTTTCCCCCTGAAAATATTTCATTCTCATCCAAGAAGCTTCTTCAGAACAGTTCTTAAGAAACTTTTTAGAGGAGAAGTGAAACATTTTCAAGGAAAAACAAAACCAAGAAAGTGCAGTTGCCTTTTGAAAAGCACCTTTGGGACAACCATGACCTGGATGATTAAGAATCTTCACAGCAGCGCCATTAATTACTTCAGGAAATCAAATCAAGATGATTTTCCTAAGAGGGGACCTTTTCAGTCTCTCACCCCCTGTGCAGAGCATAATTAAATTAGTTGTTTAGCAATAGCATCGTTGGGAACTTTTAAAAAGATACTGCAATCTGATTTGCATGATCTGCAAAAAAAAGCCTGGGCTTTTACTTTTTTCTTCTCTTGCTTCTTAAGCATCACAGCGAATCCATTTTTATCTTATTGGGGCTCATTGCTGTCCTCCTCTTCCTCCTTTCCCATCTACTCTGGAGAAAAAGATCAGACTTTCCCATATAATATAATTATATATAATAGTAATGGGTAACATTGCTTCTATGTTGTGGATATCTTCATATTTCCCTTTTCTCAAAAGTGAAAACTGTCCCCAACTGAGATCTAATTCTGAAGACTCAGATTGTAATGATAGGCTATCATATTCAAAGCATACATCCATTATATTCTAACCCCATAAGAAAGAAAAGAGTTTTGTAATGGTGAAGATTGAGATACAGCCACCTCCACCTATTTATTATGCAACTGGCTTGCAAAATATGCCTCGGGGATAGTAATTTTTATAGATCTCCTTTTCTAGCTGACAGCTTGAATGAGGGCCAACACCTAATCTTTAAGAAACAGCTCACAACAAAGGTCCTTTCCTGACATATTGAAGTACAAACAATTTAGTTTACATGTTATAGATCCAGTCTGCATCGTTAGTCTGATTCTATTGTACTATATGTGCTGTATAAATTAGTATTCCATGGTCAGATTAACTATATTTACAGTAAGCATGTTGTGCAAATAAGACTTTGTGTGACTAACGGCTGCAATGTTTCAGATGTAGATAAACTCCAGATACCATCACTCCCAGACCAAAATTCAGAGAAAATAGTAATAAATTAGACAACCATGGTTTGTTGGGTCATTGTTTCAGATATATTTCTTTACCTAAACTGATAAACAGAATGACCACAAGCAAGTAAAAATACAATGGGAGCAGGAGCGACTTTTAACTTCCTTTGGACTTCCTCCTTGCCTTTGCTCGTCAATGGGGGCAGGGGGTAAGGGAGTGTTGGAAATCACAATCAAGTAATACTGCAACAGCTACAAGTTTGTGGATAACAGTAATCTGAAGATCCTTGAAATTTCAATCCATGGGTTTTGCCTGACTGAAGGTTACATTTGTTGCCCTCTTCCTTCTTTGGAAGAGCTTTATGGCTCCTACTGCCTTAAGAAAGTTCAAAACATTCTCAAAGATCCATCTAATCCTGGGAACCCTTTTTTTTGAACTATTACCATATGGCAGATGGTACAGGATACTAAAAACAAGGACAAATAGGCTGAAAAACAGCTTCTATCCCAAGGCAGTAGCTCTTTTGAATTCTACTGTATAGTGCAGTGTTGGTGAGGTATTGGGGGTTTTCGGTTCAATGTGTGGAGTGTAAAGGATATGTGTTTGTGTTTATTTTCATGGTCATGGTCATGATGTGCACTGAAGATGGTGTTTGATTTTGTTGTACGAGGTACAATGACAATAAACTAAATTAAACTAAACAGACAGGAAAGTGTTGAAAGAAATGTCCATCTGGGTTCAGTTCCAAGTGGGAAGAAAGACACTGGAAACATGGCAACTGCTTGGAAATATGGTTTTAATGGTGGACAGGATCACATGCCTCGGAGCTCCTGGGTGAAAAGGGAAGACATGCCGAGAGTCCCTTGTTTTTATGTCCTCTCTGGGCTTTGAACTTGCTTCCTGTTCCTGTGGCAAGATAATGTATCCTGATTAGTTGTCAGATTCCCATGGGGCCATGCAGCTTGGTTGAATCTTGGTGGGTGATGCAATCTTCCCAGATGCCATGTGGTGGGATGGGTAGAGGGCTAATCCTATCATGCCCTGATCCTATCATCCTGGTGCTGAAGGGGAGGGGGGGCTTTGTCTTTAAAGACATGTTTCTCCTTTTCTCATCCAGGGAAATACAATACTCTGCCTTTTTAATATTTCCTACAACAGGGGTTCCCCAAACTTAGCAACTTTAAGACTTGTGGACTTCAACTCCTGGGAGATGAAGTCCACAAGTCTTAAAGTTGCCTAGTTTGGAGACCTCTGTCCTAGAATGTTTCATTTTTCTAGAAGAGGGATGAGTGCTAACTTTCTACAAAAGTTTTAGCAGTATATGGATAACTCACCCAAAATAATCTGATCCCCATCTCCATCTCTGACTTACAGGTCTCCAAAACCATAAGACAATACCACAGTTCTCTTGTCTCTTAGAACAGTTGCAGGAACTGGGCTTGGCTAGTCTAGTGAAGAGAAGGACCAGGGGAGACATGATAGCAGTCTTCCAATATTTGAGGGGCTGCCCCAGAGAGGAAGGGGTCAATCTATTTTCTAAAGCTCCTGTAGGAGAGACAAGGAACAATGGATGGAAACTGAACAAGGAGAGATTTAACCTGGAAATAAGGAGAAACTTTCTGACAGTGAGAACAATCAACCAATGGAACAGCTTGCTGTCAGAAGTTGTGGGAGTGCTATCATTTGAGACCTTCAAGAAGAGATTGGACTGCCATCTGTCAGAAATGGTGTAGGGTCTCCCGCTTGGGGGGTGGGTTGGGCTAGATGACCTACAAGGTCCCTTCCAACTGATTATCTGTTAACTTCGGCATTTTTGAAACTACCTTGCATTACATCCTTTAACTTGGGAGATCATTTTAAATATGGAATTAAAAGAGGAAAGCAATTCGTTAGTAAAGTTACTCAGTCACAGATGTTTGATAGTATAGCTGCTATCTCCAATTCTTTAAAAAGACATCTATGCTTATGTGAGAACTCCAACTTTTTTGAATATGGCTATTCTCAACCATCCAGCTCATAGTTGTCCCAAAGTTGCTGTTCTGAAAGACACTTTTCTTTGAAAACATTTCGTTTCTCATCCAAGAAGCTGAAGAACAACAAACACTAGCTGTATTCTCAACATATTTAATCGGAGTTCTGAATCCAGTTTTGAATAAAAGTATTGAATACACTGAATCATAATTTGTCTGCCCACCGCATATTTCATAAATTAACCCAATATGGAATGAGGCTACACAAACACTAGATAAGTTTAGGTAGGCAAACGCAGCAGCTGCTAGACCTCAAAGAGCCACGGTTAAAGATAAGTGGAAGCAACACACCCACCGCGCAACATTTAAAGCGCTCCCTCAATGGGCGAAGTTGGCGCACGTGCAAAAACCAGGCAGATTCTGCAGGAATAGCCAATCCCATCCGAGCAGACGCTCCTCTACCACTGCCTTTCTCGCGACAGCATTCCTCCTTGGAGAGGAGGCATAGCGGGAAAGGAGGGCGGGGGGGGAATACGGGAGCGGGAAAACCTGTGGGGGGGGGGGGGAGAAAAGAAGGCGTGTCCAGAAAGTTCGCCTCTTTGGACCTGAAGCCCAATTAGCGGCGTGGCCAAATGAATGGCAGCCTTTGAAAGCCAACCGGAGGAGCGGCATTAGGCAGTCCTGTCAGAGCGCAAAGCGGGCCTTCTTACACGCCGACATGGAGCGCTCCAGTAGTTCCATCAGACACGGCTCCAACCCTCTCGGCAAGAGTTTGCGGGGCCGCCGTCGGCTCTCGGCGCCGGCTTCGGCAACAGCCTTGAGCGGCGGGGGTGGCGCGGCCGCGCGGCCTGCTGCCGGAGGGGCCCTGGTGGATGTTGCCGAGCGCGACGCCTTCGAGAGAGGGCAGGTACCCGGCTGCGGGAAAACAGTTGCCGGGAGGGAAGCGGCGTGGACGAGGAGGGAAAGTTGCCGGGGAAAGCGGAGTGGGGTGTGTGTGTGTGTGTGTGTGGAGGTGGCACAAGGGAGTCCGAAAGGATCGGGGTGTGGTTGGAACTTTTTACCAACTTTTCAGCTACTTTTGCACACTTTCGGGTTTAATTGGCGCCTAACAAACTTACACGGATTTTTAAGTGGAAAAGGACTTCATTTGTCATAGGAATAAAGAAAAAGTTCCAGCTTGGATGGAAATAATTCAGTATCAACAACTTCGCTTTCAATCCTTCCCTGCCTCTGAGGTGTTTTGCCAGTGTCATTTTGGAGTCTGGTTGTCAAAGACCTCATCTCTTCCTAACTAAAGAGTGGGGAGGACATGGGTAAAAATATGGTATGGAGGGAGCTTTTTGGACAAAGAGTGTTTATTTTTTAATAAAAATCGCATGATTTTTTTCCTACTTAAACAAATAGCTGGGCAGAGAAAACTTGTACTGGTAGTCCTTGGCTTACTACCACAATCGCGCCCCAGATTTTTGTTGCTAAATGAGAAATTTAAGTGAATTTTGCTCCATTTTACAACCTCTTCCACAGTTGTTAAGTGAATCACTGCAATTGTTAAATTAGTAACACGGTTGTTAAGTGAATCTTTCTTCCCTGTTCACTTTGCTTGTCAGAAGGTCACAAAATGTGATCACATGACCCCGGGACATTGCAACAGTCATAAATGCAAGTCAGTTGCCAAGCATCTGAATGTTGATCACGTGATTATGGGGCTGCTACAATAGTCCTAAGTTTGAAAAATGATCATAAGTCACCTTTTTTCAGTGCTTTTGTAACTTCAAACAATCCTTAAACGAACTGTTGTAAGTCGAGGACTACCTGTAACTCCTTAGTGCAGTGGATTCATTGCATGAGAAGGGGGCTGAAGGAGTGGATGTAACTAAGACCATTTTTAAAAATAATTTTAACCTACCTAAGAAAGTTAACAGTACAGCATTAACAAAATCACAATGTTTATTTGTAGGCATTAATGGATGTGGCTAGAAATTATTGATTAGCAATAATACTTGTGTTGTTCAATTCTGAAACACTATTTATCTGTTGCTTCAAAAACTCAAAAAGAGGCCTATGATTTCTTGAAAATCAGTACTAGATACTGTTGTGATATGCAGTGAATATATACCACCAAGATAGGCAATGTAATGAGCACTAATAAACTTTCATATGCTATAGCTGATATTGTTACTTATGAACATTAGTTTCCAAAATGGTGAAATGTATGCTTTCCAAATTCAGAGAAAACTTTGGTGGGCAAGTTAGGCCAAGGCCAAACCACACAAGAGAGTTTTGTGGACCAGAGCACAAATGAATACAAGTCTGTATGTGAATGACCTACTTCTGGCTAGCAACAACTGGTAATAATAAAAATAAAAAGACAGATTGTTTATCATGAGACCTTTGCTCTAAGTCTTTTTTAGGTTGAGAGTGTCTTTGTCAAATTTTCCAGGTGGCTGGTAATGGGTTTTGACAGATCAGATTTGGAAAGACAGGGTGGGAGTAGAAGTTACTCTTGTTGTGCAGAACAACATTTCATATATTTGATGTCCCCCCCCCCCCCACCATCCCCTTATAAGAAACTCTTCAGAGTTTGTGTGTAAACAAAAAAAAAATGAAACAAAATCCACCTTATACTTTCTATTCTCCTGGTACATAGGGTAGTATGCTAAGTCCTGATGGCATTTATGCTAAATGGGGGAACCTCATTCAGAAGTGTTGTGCTATAGTTAATATGGCTTTTCTTGTATTACATATCTTCACTTTTTGGCTCTTCAGACTTTGAGCAAAGGTAATAATTAGTGAGACCACAGAAAAACCATAGACGCGTGTTGCCTTCCTAGAGATTAATACAAAACCCAAAATTAGATATATTGTATAAACTACAAATAAAAGCTTTTCTGTAGGTGTACAATGGTTAGTTGCACATTTCTTTTTTTTTTTTTCTGAAACTTTGTTTCTCTCAACTAAACAGGTATTCATTTACAGCTCTAACTGGTAGAGAGCTGGCAAGAATATTACTTATACCAGGAAAGCTGTTGTTCATGTCTCCTGTTAAATATTCTCATTTTCTTTTAGAATACTTAATTGTAAAGTTGCAGGATCAGGAATCCCAAACCAGGTGCTCTTTAGAGTTATTAGAATACAGTGTTTATCATCTGGCGCTTCCAGCATGGTGTTTGACTGTGCTGGTTGAATGTAATGATAATCCAACATGAATTAAAGCATCAAGTTACCAGACCATTGTAGTGGCTAAACACCAATTTCTATAACAGCCTTTCTCAATTTAGGAATGTTCTTTTGGAATTCTGGAAATTTTGATCACAACATACAGAGATTAAATCTAGTTGTGGGAGCCCATATTATAGCCTACTGTGATATATGAAGTTAGCTGTTCAGCACATCTAACTGCTGAAAAAAAGCTGATTTCCTTGGGCAATGATTATTAATCCCAAATAACAAATATGTGAGGAATTTGATATGTTTGCTGTGACATGTATTCTGTTTATATCTTGTGATATTGTTGTTGTTCAGAGACTTCCACAGAAGTGAGCCAACTCTCTTCGGGCAATCTGGGAAGGTAAATTGAGTATTGCTGAGGACTGTCTTTATTAAATACATGTATGTGGCCTGGTCACCAGGTTTGTGAACCATTATATAATTTTTTGAAGCTTATATTATAGAATTTCTTCCAAAATAAATGTTATATATGAGATTTTATCTCTCTATTTTTATATATTACAATTTATATAATTTATACATATATATATATTTGCTTCTGAAGGAGCTCTAAAGTATAAAATGAAAGTTATAAGAGTGAATTTAAGCAAGGTTTAAGGATGAGCTGACTTTTTCATGCTATAGGTGCATTTACTCATGCTGGTCTTCATAAATATTGAATACACATGGATGGTCATGCATTAAAGGGGAGAGGTTACCTGAAAATGCACACAAATAGGTAGGATAATCTTATATGTAGAAGCCATTTCTAGGATAGATGAATCCTTTCACCTTTCTCACAAGGGAAATTAAAATGTTTTAATTTATTTTGCCAAGTACTTTTGAAGTTTTTTTTCCCTGTTAGGAAGTCAATAGTTCTTTGCTCTAGATTTATCTAGACAGATGCACATTCTGTCTGGTAGATACCCAATGTGTTATATCCTTTGCTAATTCAGCATTAAAAGAACCATGATGGATTAAACTATTGTTAGTTTTGCTTAAATTTTAGTTTTGTAAATATTAAATTTTGAGGGCACCTGTTTCTTACTCCTAGCTATTTGTTAATAGAGCATTTCTTTTAAAATGCTCTAGCATTTAAACAGTTGTTTAAATGGATGATTTCCTGCATTTGGAGGGTTTTCATTTCATCCTCTACAATATTGTGAAGTCTTGATTGACATTATTGTCCCTAAGCATTTACTGCCCTCTTACAGAGTTCTGCCAGTCCCATTTACTAGAGAGCTAACCTCAGTGAAGAAGATAGAACATCAGCTATAGTATATGTGAATTGTCTCAGGATGCAGCAGATTGAGCACACAGTCTCTTTAAATAGAGAAAGCAATGAACAAAATACGGTATTACTTCACTGCCTTCATTACTTCTGCACAGAACAATGTGGCATTGCTTTTTCATATTATGAATCACTTTACTAAGATTTTAGAGTGAAGGACTGAAATAATTTATGATTCATCATGGACAATAAATTAATAAATTAATTTCTGAATAAATTGGTCTTGGAGTCTAATGTTGGGGGAAGTCACAGGAATATAACTTGGCAACCACTAATGCTGTTATTTGGATTCTTTAGTGCTTGTAAATGTCAAGGAAGTCAGCAAGGTGTATAAAGAAATTTGGACTGCCTTCCTACTCAATACTTGCTCTGCCTAAATGCTTAACTTGGCCAAGATGAGACTGGCCCTTTGAGGAAGGAGACATTCTATTCTCCTTGCAGATGGATTACATTTACCCAAAAGATTTATGAGATTGTAGATCAGCTTCAAATATTCCATTTACTGGAAAGATCAATGAGAAGGCAGTGACCTTGCAACTTCAGACCCAATTGAATGATATTGATTGTCTGATTGCCAACTGAAAATGGCAGTTCGAGTATGTTACTGTCACTTGTTTTATTGTATGGGTGAACGGGAGGACAGTCCTGCTAGTTCATTCTGGTGGCTTTCAGTATACAGTATCAATGTGAAATTGCTAGGAATTTCAGAGTTTTGCAAAATTCTGAAAGTTGGTGAAATTCAACTCAACTATGGTCTATTCCAGTATACAACGACCATAATCCAATCCATAACTTTGGCAATTTCTTCATCTTCTAATGTTTCGTCTTCATGAATTTCTGGGTCAGGGGTTGTGCTTGATCACCACCCGAGTATGTGTTCGTGACCAGATTCAAAAATTTTGTGAATTTTTTTGGTTGGAACCCGATTTGGTGGTGATCAGAAGTGTTCATGACTAGAGATTCTACTCTACTAGTATTTTGTCTAAGTTTAGTAATGAGCCAGATGGGAAGAACAAAGTAGTATTACATTTGGACAAGATGAAGATATTGTTGGTAAATTAAGGTTTTGCCTGTTTGTGGGTGGGGTTTGTGAGTACATGGCTGCAGAAAGAGCAGTTCCATAATCTGGAGGTTCTTCATCCTCCGTTGTCACAGATTCTCAGGTCGGATTCATAGTAAGGAACATATTTTCACCAGCTAATACCCTAACCCCAAGCTTTCCTAGGCTTGCTGGACTTGTTGGCAATTATCCATATCCTGGCTATATTATGCATTAACTATTGCAACATATACCACATATTGCCTTACTGTCTAGAAGCGTCAATAAGTGAAAGATGCAGCAGCTATGCTACTAACAGTGCAAGGTACCAATTTTACCTGAAGCTTGTATTCCATTTGGTTTCAGACCG